CTCCTGTTTTTCTATTTTCATTCATAGTAATCAATAAAATGGAAAATATTTGTAATAATTTTAAGTTTTTATAATGCTGCTAATAAAAATAAGTTGTACTTTAGAGTTATCCATGTTACAGTTTTTAAAACAACACCCGAACAGGCCCAGCCACAGTGGCAGCAGTAATGCAATGCTTGCAATACTGGAAGTCATATGGAAGATACAGGGTTGTTTCCTGGGGCAACCTGTAGGTGCTGGGGGAACACACCAGTGCCTGTGATCCCTGCTGGCTGAAAAGGAGGAGGGATTGTGTTGTAAATCTCTGTTGCAGGTGTTTATCTTTCTTCCTCCTTCTCTCTCTGTATCTAAAAACAAAACAAGACAAACAAAAAATACAAACAAACAAAAGAAAACACTCAAAAAAGCTGAGCAAGATCCTGGGGTGGAGGAGGTGGGGGGAATCTGGCCACATTGATGCTATTTTCTGTACTTTTTATTTTTAGATATAGCTTATTAAGGAAAGAGTCAAATAGTGAGGCCTCTCTCTTTAGCAGAAATTCATTTCAAGGAGGATGATCAGAGAGTGTAGCGACGTTACCAGCTGGCACAGTCAAGTTCCAGTGATACCTTACTGGAGTCAGGGTGGGTTTGTCGGTGAGGCCTGACACTCATGTAGCAAGTGTCCTTTGGGGAAAGTTTCCTCTCCAGTAAAACGGAGTAGTGGTATCATTCTCCCTATTTCATAGCATAGTTGCAAGGACCATCACGAGTGTGAGAAACACCTGTGGGGATGGGCTGAAATTGTTCACAGGAAGAATGTGTGTATTTATCCTCAATTCCTTAGTACCCAAACGAGGTTTATGTGAGGACAGTTTTATCTCATCTTTAGTTCATTTTTGTCAAGATAGTCACAATAGTGATTTTTTAAAAAATCATTTATTTAATTTCACTTATTATTATTATTTGTTAAAAATTGCTACAAGTCATATGCACTCACCAGAGAGAGACAGAAACAGAGACAGAGAGAGACAGAGAGAGAGAGAGAGAGAAAGGTGCCAGGTCTGGGACTCTAATGCCAACAGATCAGGTGTGAGTCCAGCACCTCAACCATCATGTCACCTGTTGGTCCCACTATAGTGATCGTAGCAATAAGAACAATTCCAGCCAATTCTAAATTATAAGGGAAATTTGTAAAGTAAAAGAATACATCAAAGCAATTGTAAGTTTTCTTTAAGAGGAATCAGGAGGAGTTTCAAACTTCGTGACAACCAAATCTAATGACATAATTTCACAGACAAATATTCAAAATTTCTTATGAAATTTAGAGTATAATTAGCCTACTACCAGAAAAAAATAAGTAAAATAGAGTGTGTGTGTGTGTGTGTGTGTATGTGTATGTGTACATTAACCTCTCACGAGTTTTTCAGAAGATTATAGCTCTGGAAATAGTTATTTATGGTTAAATAATTACCTTGCAAAACGTTATTGCCAGAGACTTCTTGTTATATTGACTTCTGTATTTGCAGTATTCCACCATTGCTTTGCTGATGAAAGGTATGACCTAATGTTTGCATGGCTTATACACAAGAAAGGGAGAAATGGGTAGTATGTCATAGTGGTTTGAAAAAAAAAAAAAAAAGATTCAATGGGAGCAGGAACTTGAATCTGAAGTGTCCTTGAAAGAGCAAGCCTTCTGTCCCAGGTAAGGCGGTGCACCAATGTGTACAATGGTGTTCAATGCTCTATAATGCTGGAGGCCATATGGGAGATCAGGTTTGGTTCCCAGGTAGGTCTATACAAAACCAGCTTTCTAGTGTCTCCTCTTATAAGAACACTAATCCTATCATATCAAAGCTACTCATTATGTCCAAAATCGAATGCAATTCAGTTATAACTTTAATATACGAATTTGGAAGGACACCAATATTCAGTCTATACAGTGGTTATAGGACCTAGCACTGGGGAGAACTTTACAAATGATGAAGGCAAAAATAAACATGATTATTATATAATTTTCAGTTACTTTAAAAGTTTGTGACTATAAATTAAATAGGAAAATTAAAGCCATTCCATAAACCATGCCCTTTGAACTGACATTTAAGACCATAACATTATGAAGTAATTGTAAAATCATGGTTAGTTCTGAATGCTTTTTACATACATATGCCAGATTTTCCAGAGTTACCCCATTGAAATTATATGTATAGTGCTTCAAAAAATTAAATATTTGTGTAGAAATAATATTTAGTCAATATAAATAATAGATAAAGTCTACTATACATATTTTTTTGGAGAGGTTTTTGCTATAGGGTGCATGCACTCTCCAGAAAGACAGAGAGAGACAGAGAGACAGAAAGTGAGAAATCACCCCCCAAGAGGGATGGCCATGACACAATACCTTCTCTTCCATTCTCCTCTCAGTATCTTGGGCATGCATGCACATGTGCCCTGCATGAGTTTAAGCCACCGGGTCCGGAACTCGAACCGTGGTCAAGTACATGGGAGTCCAGCAACATAGCCATTGTGCCAACTGCTGGTCCTTACCGTACATTTTTTAAAACAATCATCAGCCATCCTTATAGGTGGTAGGCTTCATCACCTGTTAATAACCACTCCTTCATAATGAAATAATATTCTGCATCAACACAATAGTTAATGGAATGTTATGATGAATGCAGAGAGAAAGAAAAGTGTCTTCTTCTAGGCACTGCATAGTGTTCATTGAGAATATTTTTCATATGTTATGCTTATAAATAAAATTAATACCGTTTTATTTAGCATATGATTATCAGAATAGTTAGAAAGTAAACTTTTTTTCTACGTATGCTATGAAAAATACAAGTATATGGACCAGATCAGAGACATTCTAGGTGAAGAGGGGGAGGACATGTTCACATGTGTAACTTTATATCCTGAGGTTAACAGAATAGCTTTTTGTATTTTACATCTATAGTGCTGCAAATGGAAACAGAAGATTTTACTGCTTGTAAATCACTAGAAAAATATTTGAGTGATGTAGTAGGCATTATAGATATATAAACATTTTGAGTAACCAAAAATGGGGATCCTCTGTGAATCAATAAAATGTGTGTTTTCTAGGCCCTAATATTAACAGTCTCAAGTCAGTGAATACAAAGGAGAGCAATAATTAAAATGGCATTTGATGTTGGCATAGTATTATACTTGGGGGGAAATGAGCTTTTGGTTTGTTAATAATAATGATTAATAATGATTTGTTTCTATAATTTTGAAAAATCAGGTAATTTTCATTGTCTCTGCAATATAACTTGTCAATTTTGAACTTAGACCTGAATTTAAATTTACTGAAGAAAGATACACTGAAAAAAGCAAACTTTATTCTTTATTGTTTGTAGTTAAAATTTACATGAATCTATTTATTAAAGACATTGTGTAATGCTTCTGTTTTATGCTTCAAACAGTTACAAACATTTGACTTAAAATAATACAGGTAACGATGTAACAAGTTTGAAAAGTGGGGAATGTACATCTGGTCTGCTTTTCTCCTAGCAATGATGATAAACACTCCAACTGAATGGATTGTATATTTCTCTTTTGAAATAGTAAGTTTTATTTTAATTTTTTAAATTAAGAACAAAATTTAAGGGACTTCAACATGCAATGGCTATACACAACATTCAGAGTACGTAGCTTCCATGCTTACACTGAACTCAACATAAGGCAAAAGCCCATAATTGTACTGCTTCTTTGGCTCAGTGTGTTCAAATGACAAAGCAATGTGGCAGGCATAATAAAAATAAGCCTTGGTGCTTGCCAATTTCAGATTGCTAATATGGTTGCAAGAAAATTCAATCATAGCTTCTGATGAGATATGTGACTTTTGATTAGCAGGACAGTTCATGTTCTGAATGCAAGACACAAGCATGAATCTGCTTTTATAATTGTTCTTAGTTTAGGAAAATGAGAAAGAAGCAGGTTGATTTTAATAAAACATTCTGCTTCCTGGTATGACCACATCTGATTAGGAAAACAGAAAACCAATCAGATTCTGTCAGATGAAATATGTTGTCTTCCACTCTTGGCAACCTCTCGGATATTGCCACAGAATTTAAGACAATTAAATGAGTTGTAGTCATAAAAGTACCCACGTCACAAATATTGGTTTTTCCTTTCAACTGCTCAAGAAAAACAAGCCTTTGGTAACTCTAGTTATTGTATGCGTCAATACAAAGCAAATTACCAGTAACCATTCCTGGACTAACATGGCTAGTCATTTCTCCTGTATGAGTTTGATGTTTTATTTCCTAAAAATCTGTTTGATCTCCCTCTTTTGACATCAGTAGGTAAGTCTACAGAAGTCCTTGTTCTTGAAGAATTTTCATCTCAGGAAGTTCTCATTCTTGCCACAAGATATAAAAATAACCACTCCAGGAAATTAAATCCTTCCAAATAAAATAAAATAAAAGAAGTCAAGGTTGCTTGATGACTACCACACAGGCACCTGCTCTCCCAATATTCAAGGAAGCCATCTGTTGAAAAAGATGAAACACAACTTAAGACAAATGTTATCACCATAGAAAAATATAAGAATTATTGTATATTTAAACAGTTTTTATATGTATAAAACATAAATAAATGTGTTTACATTTCCCATTTTAGCCACATGAAATTCAATAAAAATGGGAACATCAAAAATGGTATTTAAAAACAGCAATAGTTTATATACTGAAAATCTTAGAGCCAGCAATCACTGATGGAACTTTTAACAACATAGAATTTTATGGGAACCAGCAGTTAGCGTAATGGCTATGTCGCTGGACTCCCACGTAGTCGACCGTGGTTCACGTCCGGACCCGGTGGCTTAAAACTCACACCGGGCACGTGTGCGTGCGTGCCCAAGATCCCGAGAGGAGAATGGAGGAGAAGGGATTGCAGCGTGACCATCCACCCTGGGGGGTGATTTCTCGCTTTCTGTCTCTATGTCTCTCTCTGTCTGTCTGGTGAGCGCACGCACCCTATAGCCTTCCAAATAAAATAAAATAAAAGAAGTCAAGGTTGCTTGATGACTACCACACAGGCACCTGCTCTCCCAATATTCAAGGAAGCCATCTGTTGAAAAAGATGAAACACAACTTAAGACAAATGTTATCACCATAGAAAAATATAAGAATTATTGTATATTTAAACAGTTTTTATATGTATAAAACATAAATAAATGTGTTTACATTTCCCATTTTAGCCACATGAAATTCAATAAAAATGGGAACATCAAAAATGGTATTTAAAAACAGCAATAGTTTATATACTGAAAATCTTAGAGCCAGCAATCACTGATGGAACTTTTAACAACATAGAATTTTATGGGAACCAGCAGTTAGCGTAATGGCTATGTCGCTGGACTCCCACGTAGTCGACCGTGGTTCACGTCCGGACCCGGTGGCTTAAAACTCACACCGGGCACGTGTGCGTGCGTGCCCAAGATCCCGAGAGGAGAATGGAGGAGAAGGGATTGCAGCGTGACCATCCACCCTGGGGGGTGATTTCTCGCTTTCTGTCTCTATGTCTCTCTCTGTCTGTCTGGTGAGCGCACGCACCCTATAGCAAAAACCTCTCAAAAAAAAAAAAGAATTTTTAATTTTTTTTACTAAAGTAAACTTTTATAGAAAAGTTTCCAGCAAAGACTTATTCTGGAATTTTCATGGACACACTTTTTGATGATATTTCATTGTGATAGCTGAGAGTATATTTTAGAAGAAACAGCTATTACACTTTCTGCAATAATTTTGAAGTTATTTCCCTAGATATTATATTGAATTAAATGTGTTATTCATTCAGTCTAGACAGAGACATATAATGAAGTAATTTCAATATTTTGTCATAAATAGGTCATAAGTACAATTGCTATTGGGCTTATTTAAAAATTTTTCTCATTATGACAATCATTGAAAATGAGAACTGAGATTTTTTAATAATGTTGAATATTAAAATGACTAGAAATATATTAAAAACAATAATTTTTGCAAGGTTTATAATGAAAAGTTATTCTTTGGAAATAAGCCAACATTTTAATAATTTGAGTTTTTATTTCAATGGTTTTATTATGGTTTTCTAAGACTATCATAGTAGACTAGAAATTACAGAATATTATTTAAATTGCAAAGAAAGTGAATAAAATACAGGCAATTAAATAGCTAGAATAAAATAATTTGTAGCACATACAGCATCTTATTGATTGCAGAAGGACATGATCTCACTCTCAAAATGCAAAAATGATCTCTATTTGATCAGTTCTTTTAAATGTATTTATTGTTAGCTATCATTCTACTATAGGATTAAAAAAACCTGTATATTAATTTTAACTGCTTTATTTTAATATATTATTCATAAATGTTAATTTAATTTAACATCTTTTGTTTTTTATAGAAATATTGCCTAAAATAAGGAGAAAGTTCATATGATATATATTGCTAGTCTATTTAAGAATAATATTTATTGGTCATTGCAGTCATCTTTATAATCATATCATGGATTATTACCTTCATATGACAAGTGAATGGATGAACTATCAAGAGACAATATGTATATGTCACATTAATGTATGAAAACTTAAGTGTACCTGACTCCAACATATACGCACTTTCAATTGTTCAATAGGAATGAGAAAAGTGCCAGGTAATTATAATTTTGGAAAGTTTTCCAAAGGCCCTCTCATTGTCATTCAATTCCAAAAAGAACTGTACATTAGACTGCATATTGTAGTGTGAGTAGCATTACTTTTTTTTTTTTCTTGATTTAAACAGGGTCTCATTAAGTCATAATCTTCCTGTCTTAGCCTTTCTTGCCCCCAGGTTTTCTATGTCAGTGAATGAAACCACTCTCTATGCAATTGATCAAGACTGACTCGTGAAGAACAACCAATAGTACTTCTGAATAATTATCAAGCCCTCTAAATATCTCTCCAACCAGTTTAATTCTGTCTTCCATTTAGTTCAGGTTACCACTTTCCCTTGAGTAGATTAGTAATATAGTCTCCTAGTAAGTTTTTCTCACTCTACTCTTGATTTCTTCCTAACATTTTTCACATCAGTCATTTCAAAACACAATTTTGATTATTGATTTTTTTTCCACTTAAAATTATTCATTAATTCCCTCCAGTCTTAAAGTCAAGGCTCTTTCATATGGCTTTTGACTCTACATAATGTGCACAGTGTTTATCTCTGCCAACACATTGCTCATAATTTTATTTCTTGCTCAATTAAATTTGTCATATGTTCTTCCAGCTCTTACAAATGCTGTATCTTAAGTCAAAGCATGCCATATATTTTCATTTGGTCACCTAGTACTCATCTGTAAGACCTTACTTCATATTATCATTATGCGAGGGAAAATTACTCTATCTAATACCTTTAGATTCTATCATAATGCTAAGCATTTCTTTTACCAAGTAATTTATCATAATTAAATGCATTTAGTATTTTCTACATTAATACGTTCTAAGCACTTAGTAGAGGGTTTTTTCTTTTTTCATTTTCCCTCCTTGATCCTACTTTAACATGTTTTATAAATATGCCTTTGTTTTCTCTACAGCTGGTATGATAACCTAAAGCAGGCAGCTAGAGAACCATTTAAATGAAAGCAACCGAAGGCACAGATCTCTCCCCAGACTTCTGTGGAACTCATTCTCAGTTTCCTATATGTATATTATGTATAAAGACTCTAAACCTCTGCACAAAAGGATACACTTAGCTGCAACAAGAGTTCTCAATTTACTTCAGAAATATTCAGTTATCGCCTTTCCATACCATCACCTGTGCTAGTCTTTGGAGACAGGACAGTAAGTCACACATTGTCCTCAATTCCTTACAGCCTATAGATTTTTCTTAGCATGACAACACTACTACAATATCCGAAGAGAACAAGCAAAAGGGTAATTTAACCCAGGCTTGGGAAGATAAGAGAACATTCTTTTACTGTCTTGAAACATCCATTATTTCTTCAAATCAAATGCAAGATATAAGCCCAAAGTTAAATGACAAAGTCACATTTATTTATTAATTTGTGTGTGTGTGTGTGTATGTGCTTTGTAAAGCCAGCTAAGGAACAAATTTGGCAACTTATACCTAAGATATTTCCATTATTTTCAATTCTAGATAACCTTGACCATTTTCAGATTAAATATTCTTGGATGTTTTTTAATAAAGTTGGCTTTTCCATCTACTGATCAGATATATGTGGGTGTTTATGACATATGGGATAACTAATTGATTCCGTCCACATATGGGGGTAAGTAGAGTGAAAATACCAGGAAATACCTTGCAAATATGGAAAACATTTCTAGTGGACTAGAATCCTGAAAATTTTCAAAGTGATTTTGTTTGAGTCTGCTGATAGTCCCTCGAGAGTTTAAAAAACATAAATATTGAAATGATATGGAAGTAAAATCTTAAAGAAATTTAAGAGTCTTAAAATTAATGTTTATTATACTAAAATAAAGTTGTTATAAAACATTTTAAAGACCACTTTGCTGTTTGTAAGATACTAATATATGATCCAAAAGAGTACAATAAAATACAGATGAGGGAACATGGTCTTTAGAAGACTTTTACCTATTATTGCTACATACTTTATTTTTATTTCAATTTTTCTGGAATGATAAGCATAATGACTCTTTATTATAAATAAATAATGAAGATACTATATTAAATCATTTATATACCCATAAACTTCTGTTATTTAATGTTCCTTTGTATAAGTTGCACATTCAAAATGCATCCAATTGAATTGGTACTTTTTTTTGTAGCAAGCCAATAGTCATTAATCTATGCAGTTCTCTTTAAAACACAAGGAATTAATAAAGGTAAGTTGGAATACATTCTTTAAAACTTTTGTGTTAAAGCAATCATTAGTGTCACTTCTTAGGTTTGGGAGAATGTGTATGGTGGTCTCAACTGGGCTGGACTGAGATGTATATCATGCTGGGTAAAGTGTCTTCACAATCTAAATGATGTATAACGATTTAATGTATGAATAATAAAATAAAGAAATACTTTTTTCACAATTCAAGTAAAATCACAGGACTTATTTCTCCTTCTACAAGAGATTTTCAAGAAGTTCAAGGAAAATATATATTATGAAAAATATATCCATGAGTTTCAAATACTTCTATAACGATAGTACATACACATGAGAGGGAAAAAACAGAAAGAGAAACACACCCTTGGCAGGCTTTTGTCACACCACAACCCCCTTTCTCTAACTCTCCAGCAGCCCAGCTTTTGGGTACTTGAGTGCCTGCCTGGTATGTTTTCAAAGTGACCTGGGGATAGGAACCTGCAATTGGTCAAGTGACCTCTGGCATTGTAGAGTAGTAAATGAAAAGTCTATTTTGCATCAAAATAGACTTGTAATATAATTCATTTCATTCTTTTTTTTTTTTTTCTAGTTTGCTATTGGGAGGGTATATGCTCTTAGAAACAGAGAGAAAGTAAGAAATCACCCCATAGGCAGGATGGCCATGCCACAATCCATTCTCCACCCTTCTCCTCTTGGGATTTTCAGAATGCAGACAGACAATGCCTGATCTGGGACTCAAATTATTACTCCATGGCCCTATGGGATCTAGCCACCTTAACCTTCACACCACCTGCTGGTACCTCTAATTTTTTTTCATTAATTTTTTGAAGTTCCTCACATATTTTCCCTTTTTCCTTCTATTCCTACTTTACTTTTCTTCAGCCAAATGTACATTTTAATTTAAGTGCTGCCCTTTATGATAGAGATTCACGAGGCAGGTACCTTAATCAGATCATTAAGAATTTGGTTTTGTACTTCAAAGTCAGCATTTTAATATATTGTTGCTGAATTCATACCATCAAAACTGGTAAAATCAATGAAATTATGTATACAGTATTTAAAAGTAAGTATCTTAAAATATTTACATTGATCACAGTGTCCAAATCTTCACATAAAGGTTAGTTAATTTCTGAAACCAAAATCAGAAACTTGCACATATAGTAGTAAATTATTATTATTCTGCCTCCACTAAATAAGGCTTTAGAAGCTCGCTGCATTCAGTGGAAACTATTTATTTGCTTATTAATAGTATCTTACTTTTACATTTCTTTTTTTTTTTTTTTGAGAGGTGTTTCCCCCCCACCCCCCTCACTATAGGGCTCATGTGCTCGCCAGACAGACAGAGAGAGACAGAGACAGAAAGCAAGAAATCACCCCCCAGAGGGGATGGTCACGCCACAATCCCTTCTCCTCCATTCTCCTCTCGGGATCTTGGGCACGCACGCACGCACGCACTCATGCACACACGCCCGGCGTGAGTTTTAAGCCACCGTGTCCAGGACATGAACCAGTCGACTACGTGGGACTCCAGCGACACAACCATTACGCTAACTGTTGGTTCCCTTACTTTTAGATTTCTGATAGAAGAGAAATAATAAAATTGTTGAGAGATTAAGGAAAGAAAGGAAAACTAAATGTAAGAACGCAAGTCTGAGGGTTTCTCCATCCCCTCCATTGTAAGCGAGGACATAGTAGTGACATAGCATAGATACATATTGCTCAGGATTCACCAGGGAGCGACTGGGAAACCAAGAAAGCTTGAGGTCAGAGGGCTGGAGTTAATAGTACTGAATGTAAACAGAAAACTTTTTTTTTTTTTTTTTTTTTTTTTTTTAAATAAGGGGAGAGAGGGAGGTACTTGTCTTTCTTTTGATTTTCTTTCGTTTTTGATAGGGCCTCTCTATTGCATGAGCTGATCGTTTGCCCAAGCTTCCACTCTAGTTAGGTTATCCTGCCCTCATCTTCCTCCCACACTCACACAATGCACACCCTTGTCCTCTAGTTACAAGATCATAAAGAGACCCACTTCATTCAAGCATGAAACTGAGTCTACATCAGTGGATAATGCCTCACCTGTAACAAGCCTATTGTTTCAGTCCTTTTCTTTCTTTCTGAAAAAAGCAACTGTCAAGGAGTAAGTACTTAATACATAACAGGCCATCCAGAGACCTTTGCTGTACATTTATTTTTAATTGAACTGGATAAAAAGTTAATTTACTTTCTATTTATGACTGAAAATGACTAACTGGAGCTTCTAGCAATATCACTGGATGGGCAATTCTCTCTATTAGGTAAAAATGAACTTTACAGTCATAGTCAAACAAAAATGAATGGCAGAAAGGTTGATTTTTGTACCCTCCAATCCCTTATTCTAGTTATTTCTAGAACCAAATATCTTGAAGTTAGAGTTTTAAAAACCAATACATTACACTTTATTTTATTGCTTAGTACAAGTTAAGTTTCTGTTTCTTCTTATGACGTGTACCAAGCAAAAAGTCCACTGAAGCATGAATGTCACTTCTAATATAAATGTTATGGAAGTATCACATACATTAAGAGAAAGGACATAAAGGAACATAAATTAATAAATGATTTGTAAACACTGTTAACACAACATAGGACTATATAAGTCACTTTGAGTTCAGGCAATTTTGTTTAGCTAGATGACTGTTTGTATCCCTCTCCTCCAAATGAAGTAAATGAAAAAAATTTTGTATTTGACGTAATTGTAGGGATGAAAATCTTACCTGTGTCCACTCATTAGTTTGTGGATCATAGGATTCCATAGTATTGAGGTATGTCTGTCCATCATAGCCACCAACGGCATATAATCTGTCACCAAGGAGACAGACCCCAACAGCATCTCTGGGCATACTCAAAGGAGCAACCATGGTCCAAGTGTCTGTTTTAGGATCATATCTAAAATTTAAGAAGAATAGAACATAACATATTATAATCACATTCACCTTTTCCTTAATCAATTATATTTCCAAAAGTATGTCATGAATAAAAGAAACTAAGTTTGTCTTTTTAAAAGCTCAATCATTTGAACAGGTGTTCTAAGGCAAATATACATAATTTCTGGCTTTCTAAATATGAAGTATTTTAAAAATGTACCTAGATTCTTTGATGAATGCAGATTAAATTAACAAAAATAAATGTTACAGTTTCTTACTGAGAGAAAAGGCAAAATAGGTAAATAACTACTTTTTATAGCAGAATGAGGGTCTTTGAAATAAAACTATGAAGAGTGCTATGGTAAAATCATATAGAAAGAATGGTTAAAAATCTAGGAGAATCAGAGAATACTCAAGAGATGAATTCTATTTTAAACTATTTTTGAATGTGTGGCCTAAATTTATTACAAGAAAAAGAGAAATTTATGTAACGCAACATTAGTTTTTTAAAAAAGTGCATGGTCAGGTTTGAGAAGACAGGAATGTAGTGTGATTAAGGAGCATAAAGAAAGAGTATGCCTAAAAAGATAAGTTTTGATCAGTTTATGGATTGTGTGATCCTCTGTATAAATAGGCATTTTGAGTTTATGCAGTAGAAAAATAGAGAGCCTTTGAAACTTAAAAAATAATTGTAATATGAATATATGAATAGAACTGTGTTTTAGTGATATTATTCAGGATTCATCATGAGGGAGAGACTGGGAATCCAAGAAAGTTTGAGATCAGAGGGTCGGAGTCATTAGTACTGAATGTAAGCAAAAGCTTTTTTTTTTTTTTTTTAATGAGACAGGGGAGAGAGAAAGATAGAGGGAGGTACTTTTCATTCTTTCTTTTTCTTTTCTTTCTTTCTTTTTTTTTTTTTTTTGAAGAGGTTTTTGCGATAGGGAATGTGCGATCGCCGGACAGACAGAGAGAGACAGAGAGATAGAAAGTGAGAAATCACCCCCCAGGGGGCATGGCCATGCCACAATCCCTTCTCCTCCATTCTCCTCTTGGGATCTTGGGCACAAATGCACACGTGCCCAGCGTGAGTTTAAGTCACCAGGTCCAGGACTCAAAACTGTGGTTGACTACATGGGAGTTCAGCAACATAGCCATTACTCTAACTACTGGTCCCTCTTTCCTTCTTTTTTGACAAATCCTCTATTGCGTGATCTGATCTTTCTGGCCCAGCTTTCCAGCTACTTAGGACCATAGGTACATCCTTGGCCTGTTTAGGTTGGGCTGGAACCAAACGTGAACTTTCCATGTGGTTCCTGATTTTGGTGCAGTTGAAGTCCTAGATGTATTTTTTTTTTACCACCTTGGATGGGCCAAATATATATATTATATATTATATATATTATTATTATTTTTTTTAATGATAAGAGCTGGCAAGGTTGTGGTGAAAAGGGAACTCTCCACTGTTGGTGAGAATGTAAATTAGTACAACTGTGTAGAATGATATGAAGATTCCTTAGAACCTGCAAATAGAACTATCATACAACCCAGTAATTTCACACTTAGGTATTTACCCAAAGAATAGGAAAACCCTAAGCTAAGCTAATAAAACACTTGTACATCCATGTTTATTGCAACATTATTTACAATTGCTAGAACATGGAATCAACCCAAATGTCCAAAAATAGATGAGTGGGTTAAAAAAATGTGGCATATATACTCTATGCAATACTACTGAGCCATAAAAATAATGAGTCACTGACATTTGATACAAAGTGTATGAATATGGAGGACTTAATGCCAAACAAAGCAAGCCAGACAATGAAAGACTTTGTGGGACCAGCAGTTGGCATAATGGCTATGTTGCTGGACTCCCATGTAGTCGACCGCAGTTCGAGTCCTGGTGGCTTAAACTCACGCTGGGCACATGTGCTTTTGTGTTCAAGAGGAGAATGGAGTAGAAGGGATTGTGGTGTGGCCATCTTCCGTGGGGGGTGATTTCTCACTTTCTGGTGAGCATATGTGCCCTATAGCAAAAACCTCTTAAAAAAAAAAAAACTAGAAAGACAGACAGACCTTGTTGTATGTCCCCACATATTATGTACCAAATGCCTGTGCTCTACAGCAGAAACTGAAAGTTTGGAAGGTATAGTAGCTGGGAGGGCAACTGTAGATACTAGAGATGGTAAGGATAAGGGTAATATGAGGATGGGTAATAGAGGGAGGGGAACAGTAGGAAAAAAATATGTTTGACACAAAAATGAAAAGTTATTTGCTGATGAAAATGTATATGGAAACGTCTTTGTCTTGACTGCCATGCACTGTATTCATGCTGAGAAAAGCAAGGTTGGACAGTGTAAAGATATATAGTGGTTAAATGTAAATTAAAAAAAAATCTCTAGCCATAGATTTAAAGAATATTAAAAACGCCTCCTTACTCCTGCTTGTTTTCCTTAAACGAACTGCAATCTCATTTAGAGAAGGCTGCTTTTTTTCTTTTTGCTAGGTTATAGCCAATCGCAGCAGCTAGATTTTAATCACAGATATTTCGCCCTTTAAACTATGTTAATGCAAATAAACACTGAAATATAACCAAATTAAAAAATTGTTTTTCTACCGCATTCCTTCACTTTTGTTTTCATACATCACTTTCCCTTTCCCACACTTAAAACATCAAGTTAACCACTACGCCACCTGGAGTTGTTTGAGGATTGGTCTAGAAAATTGCCAGATTCAAATTGTGTTAAGAATTGCTCAGTTAAACTCCACTAAATTAAATCATCTCTTTTTGTTTTTCTTTAAACAGATTGTATGCATATATTTTTATATTTGAGTTGCAAAAGCCTAAATACTACTTTAATGAATATGCTTTATTTCAACTATTAAACCACTTTTTGACCTTTAACTTACAATTGGAGATTCATGTAATAAAACAAAGAAATTAGCAAGAACCCAGGAGAGCAAATGTAAAAGAAGCATGGAGGAAAGTATATTTTCTGACAGAAAAAATTATTAATTTTTTTTTTCTTTAGAGGTTTTTGCTATAGGGTGCATGCACTCATCAGAAAAACAAAGAGACAGAAATCTAGAAATCATACCCCAGGGGTAATGGCCATGCCACAATCCCTTCTCCTCCATTCTTCTCTCGGGATCTTGGGCATGCATGCACATGTTCAGGCTTGAGTTTAAACACCAGGTCTGGGACTCAAACCCCCAGTAGTTGACTACTTGAAACTGTAGTGACATAGCCATTACACCAACAAGTAGTCTTTTTTTTTGAGAGAGAGAGAAATTTTGCAATAGGATACATGTGCTCGCTAGAGAGATAGAGATGGAGAGACAGAAAGCAAGAAGTCACCCCCTAAGGGGGATGCCCACACCACAATCCCTTCTCCTCTGTTTTCCTCTTGGGACTCTGGGCATGCACACACATGCCCCAGCATGAGTTTCAAACCTCCAGGTTCAGGACTCAAACCGCAATTGGCCATGTGGAAGTCCAGCAATTTAACCATTATGCCATTTGCTGGTCCCTTGCTTTTTTTAAAAAATGATTATTATTGCATTTAATCATATACATCTGTACAGTGCCTTTTTTTAAAAAAATTCTGCTCTAATCAACTTTTCACCAATTGAAATTTTCAACCCACAGTCTCCCCAAACCAATAAACAAACCCCCTGGAGAGTGATTTCTCACTTTATGTCTCTCTGTTTCTCTCTGTCTCTCTGGCAAGTGAACGTGCATTATAGCGAAAATCTCTTGCAAAAAAAAAAAATCTAGGATTTATATTTTATAAAGAATATTTAGAGCCAGCCATGATGTGATGGTTAAGGCACCTGGATCCCACATAACCAGCCAGGCAGTTCAAGTCCTGAACACAGGCAACTTGAAAAACATACCTAGTATGTGTGAGTTCATGTACAAAATCTCAGAGAAAGAAATACATGGAAGAGAAGGGATTATGGCATGGAGTGACCACTCCCCATGGGGAGCACTTTCTCTTTTCCTGTGTTTGTCTTCCTGTCTCTCTGGTGAGTGAACACAAATTTTAGCACACACACAAAAAAGGTTTATATTCCCCATTATATTACTTTTGCACACTATAGTTGCAAGGTCTGCGTGCAGCCAAGATAACATATGTGAAATGAGATATTGGTGATTGCCGGCAAATTCAAGATCACCGGGAAGCACAGGTTGTCCAATACATAAAAAATTAATTTTATATGCTAAATATAAAACATCACAAGCTTACAAAGACACACATACTCACAAACTTAAATGCGTAATCTATGCTATCAACATAGTCTTTAAAAGTTAAACCTTTTCCATAAATATTTTTAAATATATAAATAAATTTTAAATGAAAGAAAAAAGAAGATACCACACCAATACAAATAATACAATACAGAATGTGGGCCATTATATGGGAGAATTGACTACATTTTTCCACAAGTCAATTGAAAAAAAAAAAGTAGAAAGAAAAAGAAATAAAATAAAAGGTAATAATAAATAAATAGGAAGAGGTAATTTTTCTAAATTAAATATGAGTTAGAAACATAACAATGTGAAAATAGAGTAGATCTTCCTTGAATCCTAAAATTCAAATAAACCAACTGTGAAATTTTGAGTATTTTTTTTAAATAATTGGTATGTAGTAATAATTTTGAATACTAATGGGGAGCAGTGTAATACTTTAATACACAAATAACTGTGTAATAATCAAATCAAGGTAATTAACATATATATCACCTTGAATATTTATTGTTATTTTGTAGTGGGAATAGTCCAAATTCTCTCTTGTATTTACCTTGGAATATGTATTACAACTTTAAAAATTGCTGAAGTTTGTCTCATGGAATAATAGCAGTGTATTATGTTGAAAAAATAAGGTCCTGACCACTTTTTTCCTGAAATTAATTAAAAAATACTTTTGGTTGAAATATTTTTGAAAATTTCTTTAGATTCTTTTATAAAAAGGATAGAGGAAAAGGAAATAAAACAAGAGTGAAAAATCTATACTTGCT